TTTGCGCTGTCTGTTTGTATATTTGGTTTTTGCTCACATAAATTTGTATTCGTCTTTTTGCAGAATATTCTGTATGTTATTGTTTTCTTCTTAGGCCGTCATATATACTTCGTTATGATGATAAAATTCATATATCAAATAAACCATTTACAAATTATCATAAATAAAATTTGGGTTAGTTAATTGTATGGAATTTTAATGATTAGAAAAGAGGATGGCACGATTCATAAGTATAGATTTTTTATCATAATTTCGGTGCTTTTTGTGATGAATATTCGTACAAAAATGTCACATTTTAAATGTGTTCGTCTCCAAAAAGTATGTTTATAATGGAGATAAAAAAAATTTCGGCGAAAATAATCGACGAAGTTTTATAAAACTAACTTCGACTTACCAACCGCTCAAAGTTTAACAAAACCGGTTAAACAGCAAAAACACCCAAAATAAGCAATTTTTCCTTCTCAGACTTCAAATTGCTTATTTATGACGAAAAAAAAACTTGAACGACGACATAATTTATTTTTATTGAATTTATTCAAAGAATATAGTTTTTTTTTGTTACACAAAAATATGATTGAAAATTGAGGCAAACTTAAATAAAAAGCGTAATTGTGAGTTCTATTTTAAAAATATACAAAGTAACTGATGTTCATATAATTTCCTTTGTTTTTTTCTTCATCATTTTCGTAATTAACTACGCTTCTCAAACTTTTACCTAAATTTAATTAATTAACATTGAACAATTACTTTACATCATTTTACATACACAGATAAAATAATTGGTTAAATTGATATTTGGCAAATGACTAGCTGAAATTTATACGTAATATGTTTTTCTTTCTATTCGTTTAATGTTATTATTGTTGAAAAATAATTTGCTATCTCGCTGTGTGGCTTCAAAAAAATTGGTTAATATGATTTTCATATCGAATAAAAAGGCGAGAAAAAAAAGGTTTGTCATGATTTGTGAAGCCACGCGGAAATGAATACAAAATATAAATGTTAGATAAGAAGACATACACAGAGAGAGAGTCAATGAGTAAAAAAAGATGGCACAGATGCAGAGTTATTTTTAGATTATTTTTTTTTCGTGTGTGTGATAAGCAATATTTTCACATCTAATTGGATAGTTTCCTGAATCACCTAAAACTTGAGAATCAAGAACTATTAGTTAGAATTTGTTCACGTCACACATACATCATGCACATTTAACAATATTTTGACAATAAAAAAAAACAAAACCTACAAATCAAATGCGTCATTCAAATCATTCCGTTGCGAATGTACAATCAAATGTTGACATTCTTAAATTATTTCAAATAAAATAGAATGTGACGCTATGGAAAATGAGTACACTAATCATTGTTGTCAGTGAAAAATATTGCATTTCCGATGATGAGCCCGCTCCATCGATGAAATCGTCACGAACGTATACGAGTGGACGTGAATTAAGACGTTGTAATTGACGATAATTATGTGTCAATAATGAGCCCTCTGCATCTTTTACCTGTTTAAATCGTTCGATTTGTGTTATTGAAAATGGTACCGTTTTATCTAAAACAGTCCAAATAACAGCTTCATCACACGATGGCGTTGTGAGTGAACCCTCATATCGAAAATACGATGACCGATCCTTTGGCAATAGTTGCATCGGTGAGAATGGCGCTTTTATTGCGTTCGATTGGCCGGCGGCATCTTTAACGGATTCAGCGCTATCCAAAATATTTTTCAACAGCGGATTGATTTCATCGGATATGTGAAATAAAACACCCAACACCGAAACACCTTGCTTATTTTGTACAGCTTCCGAGAAGTTTGCGTAACGCTGATTGTGCGACACAATATGCAATTCCAAGCCGAATCTAATTGATTGAGATTGAAAATAATAATAATACAGTAATAATTTCAAATCCCGTTAAAATCCATTGACTTTGAACGAAGTCAGTTATTATTAATTAACATTGTAATAATAATAAAGCTATGTAAAAAAATGATTTAATTACCGTTTGCTATCTAATGTGTGTTCGGACGACCAATGAAAGTGCATTTGATCCATTTTATATATACCGGGCAATCCGCCGCCAGTGATTAAATACTCTTGATCATTTGGAATATCAATTTGTACTGTAAACAATGAAATAAATAATATTGAAAACATACAGACGATAAACATTATTATTATTGATAATTTCACGAAACGCAAAAAAAAAACGCATATAATTTATTGACTTTATTAAAATTTAAAAAAACACAGCAACAACAACCACAAATTCTGACGGCTTAAAACTTGTTTATCTTCGAGAAATCATGTAAATGAAGTAATTTTTAATTGCCATGATTATTGAAAATCTTTGTGTCACTTTGAAAATAATCTCAATAGAATTTGGTTTGATATGGATACATGAAGTAATATATCATTTTTTGCCCAAGTGACACACAAATATTTGATTAGACCATATTTGTTTTTTTATGTAGAAGGATTGTAGTTCGATATGCATATTGATCAAAATTGCAGTGTATATATATTTTGTCATTCTTGGGGGGGCTTAGCGTCAGTTTCTTTTTAAACGGTCATTCATTTTAATTTGAAATTAATCCCGTCTGTTTATAAATATGTTCTGTGCAATTTGTTTATTTAATAAAATGTGACAAAGATTCAATAACAGTTGAATAAGCAACTAATTGTGTCTAGATGTGTCTGGTGGCAGACAATTGAGCTACTGCATTGTTGCAAAAAGAAATGTCACTGAAATGATTGTATGATTTATTTCGTCTCATTTTGTGCTGCTATCAGACAGCCAAGTGTCATATGCATACGAATCCAGTAGTTCGATTATCTCGTTGCATTTATACTGTTCATCTTCATTAGAGATTATGTTGCTTGGGCCATTTACGTATTTACAAAATAAGTAGAAACCAGAATGCAACATGCGCTTCTAATTTCCAAAGTTGGCTGTTGCAAATTATTCACTTGATATCATCGAATCATTTTATAGCATGATGAATGTGAAACCACATCTTCGCTACGTGTGAAGTCCAACTATGATACAATGGACGAGTGCTAAACGCGTATTATTTATAAATGGTATTATATTCGCATAAACCAAAACAACAATATCAGAGCGAACGCTTACTTATCATTGGCTGCATATCAAAACAATTGTGAAATGATTGAAGATAAATATCCGACATTGTAAATCAAAAACCGATTATCAGTTGCATTTATCTCTCAATCTATCACATACACACACGCATTCACATGTGGATAGCGACAAACAGGCACAACAAAGTATTCATGTTTCGTTTGCAAAAACGGCTCGAGAATGCTGAGAATGACATGAAAAGCATCTGAACCGAATATTGAACAAATAGAATTCTGAACGAATGAAAAAAAAAAAACACGAAAGAAAAAAATTGGCTATGCTAAGCATTCAATACATAACTTATGTATTGTGTGAGCCTATGTGTTTGCGAGCTGTAAAATGTAAGATAGCGAGCAAAGCAAAATGCTCGGTCAAGGTCATTCACATTCAAGTACAAGTAGAACATAAGTACATGAAATGTATTTCGTATTTGTTTGGTATGTAATGCATTTCATTTGTAAAGAGCGGCTCATTTTTCACTAGCGTTTTGTTCAGATTCTTCTTTTTTTTTATTTCGATGTAATGCTTTTGTATAGGCACTATATTCTCTCTTTCCCATTCTCTATCGCCAATTTTATTCGTGCTTGATGATCATTCGATACGGATAAGTATGTGAAAATGTCTATTTTCAAATTTAACTCAATTCCAAAAGTGTTCGCACTTGAAAATGTCAATATTTGTATTGCACGTACGAATCCATGCACGAAATATTAGCCGAATAAAAAACAAATGAAAACAAAAACATAATGGAACATTTTTATAGCGGTTAAAATAGAAATTAAATTTGACAGTTGTAAATACAATTACATTAATGCTCAATAAATCAAATTTAGTGATACGTCAAACAAAGTGGTTAAATGCCGTCAAATCATTCCATTCTATTCAAACATGGAAGAGATCGGTTTTGTTTTTGTTTTTTTGTTTTGAGAAAATCAGGTGTCTTTCCGTCAATCAAATCACAGACGACACAAAAATTCAAACACAAAGTCTAAAATACAAAACGAAAAAGAAACAAAACAAAGTTATTAGTTTATCAAAATAATGTACTAACATTATATCATACAAAACATTGTTTGTTGAAATTAAAGCATTTTGAACAAAGTGTCTGTCCAACAACGATGTGCTTATATACGATGCTATCAAAACAAACGTGCTCTGTTAACAATGAGCTGCGAAGAGGATACATAAATTAATATAAAATGAATTAATATTCATATGGGTTGTGAGCATGCATGTGTGTGTGTATACATGTGACTTTGTGGTTGTTTGTCGTTGTTCTTTTGTGGTGTTTTCGATGTTCTTGGGCTTTTCTTTCACTGTGTGCTGGACATGGTTGAATAACTTCATTAAACTTGTTAGCTTGATTGATAAATATGTATAAAGCCAGGGTTAGGATCACTGTTGATGATAAATATAGGTTCTTTTAACAATTTTCGCTTCATATTCAAACATTTTTTGCTTTATCTTCTGATTTTGGCATATCAATGCCAGAACAGCGTAGCACACTTCAATCTGATTACATCTAAATGGGCCTTAATGCTCACATTATTTCCTTAGCCTTTTAGCATTTTTTTTTATTCACGATAAAATAGTACAATAGTACATCAGATTAATTGTGGCGCAATGAAATGCACTCGTGCATATATAACGCAAGTGGAATGGAACGATAAAAACAAAAACAAAATTCAATTACACAAATTTATACTCACATGAATGGCCGGTATTGCGAATTTTCGCACTTTCCAATAGATTTTCATAGTTTCGAAAGAATAGAGATGGATAACGTCCCATAACAGCTGCATCTTTTGCCAAATCAATAGGACTTTGTCGTGATCCATTTCGACACTTTCCGCCCCATTCTTCAACTCCTGCGGACAATAAAGAGAACAAATAACGATTCAAATATTACAAAGATGGTACGATATTTCAATGGAATATGACATATCGCGAAATGTTTCGCGTTTTAAAGATACATAAACTAATAATAACTTGATAATTTGATTAACAAATTGACTTAAAATAAAACACTTAACAAATGAGTTCAAAGTTGCGTTTTTATTATAAACTCATTTTCGATATTGGAGTCTCGTGGATCGTGCGGTCTTTCATTAAAAATATATAATCGATCATTTGAATCGATGAGAGAATTTTTTATTCAGGAAAAAAACATTCAAGCCCAACGAAAACAGTAACTCATTCCTCAAAGAGTAATTCCGGTAAGTGTTTTTTTTTTTAACAAGGAGGGAAATGTATTTTTTTACAAAAATTTAAAGTATGCTTTTTCCAACCATGGCAAATAATTATTTCGATTCAATTATAATAGATATTCGTTTTTTTTTTTTCTTAAACCGTAAATTTACGTGCTATTTTGTAGCCGAATATCTCGACGAAAATTGCGCATTCATATCGACAAAAAAAACACATATTTAACACTAAGTCAGAAATCGCTGCATTAAAATCAATTGACGGTGAACTGATTATCGCAAACGAGCGAGCGGGTGATCATTGTTTCATATAATTTTTTACACATACAATGAAATTTATTATTTCCATTTCTATCTCTCTCTCTCTCTCTCTCTCTATCTCTCTTTCTTCGTTAAATTTCAATTTCATTCATTTTGTTATGATATTCAAGTGGGTTATAAAAAAATGGTAAGTGATTTTGACTTCAATCCAAATTTTCCACTGACGTAATTGAGTGTCTCACACCAAATTGGCACTTTTATTGCACTCTCTATGAAAATATGCTTTTGTTGAAGGATCGATATTAAATAATATGATGTATATCTGTTGAAAATATATGTTTGAATATCATCTTCTACATTTTTTCCGATGGCATTGTCTCTATGCGAAAAGTTTACGACTCGTTTTCTTATTTACACATGCTATTTGCAAAAAATTCAGGAGTCATAAAAAAATAAACGTCGAAATGGCAAATCACTAAAGAACCGAATGAATTGAATTCGATTTAATTTTAATTTGAAACTTGATTTTTGCATATCTGATCATAATGAAAAATCAATATCGATCAAAGTTCTATTTATGCATTAAACATTTGTTGATCGCGTGTCTGTCGGCAAGTTTTTTTGGGTTTTATGGCGTGCAACAAAAAAGTCAAAATAAAAATAATAATTAAAACAAACAAAGTTTTTACCACGCTCATATCAATCAAAGCAAAGCAAATAATAATCAGAAGCAAGTTCAGTATATATAGATTTTTGGATTTAAAAATCGAAGCAGATGCGCCAGATCTTTGATGTTGATGGATGTTTATGATGCAAAGACTTTATTTAAATAGAAAATGAATTACAAGATACATTACCCTTGACAACGCCGTTGTCTTCTTCTGGTAAATAACCCCAGTGGTCGGCATTCGAAAGCAACACACCTAAAAAAATAAAGAATGTCACATACAATTCGAATTAATGGCAACATTCAATGGTGCGAAGAGGTGAAAGGATGACTTCGAGATGATATGCACTTGCATCATTCTCAAAGTGATGAAGAAATAATCGGAATCTAGCACAACATAGTGCAAAAATACTTTCTACAAAGCAAGAAAATGCTTCTTTTCTTTCATTTATTATCACTGTGACCCGTTGGATTTTCTCGGGTTTTGTTAACGGAATTGAAAAAGAAAGAGATTGTTGAAAGAAAAAAAAAAACATGAACTGAAATCGGCACAAAGAGAAATGGCAGTGATTTCGCATATGCACTTTGTTTGTCTAGGTTAAAAATAAATTATTCACATGGACATGAGATAGAGTATGTGCCTATTGACACTAAGAAAAGATAATGTATGTTACAGTTGGTATTTTTAGATTTAAATTTTGAAAAGAAGAAATCGCGAAAAACGCAGAACATGATAACGGGGCCCACGTCAACTCTTAAAAAGATTTATGGATGCACACGGCTTAATTTTTTTTTGTTCAGTCGTTGTTCATGTGCTATGACCATTTCAAATCTAACAGGAACGAACATTTCAATATATGATGGCGTACTACCAAAAATTTATTACCAGCGCGTGAATTGATATATATGCCATAGTACCCGCCCGGTACTACAGATATTTAAAAAAAACATACTCTCTATTAATTAGTTAATATGATAAGAGATTTTATTGTTCTTCTTTTGTTTCAGTTTTTTTTTTTGTTTTTGGGAAGGAATTTATAGCCGATATAAATTCCCAATCAACAATCTATCATTTGAACTTAGTTCGTTTTTTTGTTTTGGCAGACATTTTATAACTTTTCTTGTTTGTGAATATTCTGTCTATATCGCGCAAACACAACGTCTAAAATGCGCTAGAGAGCAATAAAAAATTATAAAATTCATTCATTTAGATAATTCGTCGTTTATTGGTTCGATTTTATTTGCATCTGAAGCTGGTCATACGAAGCAGCTCGAACACGATATCATTACATCGGCGAACCACATGGAGTTTTATCAAAGCCACGCATATTGTCAGCTGATTATAATCGAATAGGAAGCATATCATTGCGGAATTTGAACGGGTGGCCTTTAGCCATAAATTACGCACTGTGCTGCTAAATCAACGTCATCATCAAACATCATAAACTTGAAATAGTAATTAATATCTAGTTTAACATAATTCTTGTTTCTTTGTATCATTATCATTTGTTTTCATTGTATTGGCTCAAATTTACGGTGTATGTAATTCTAATAACTGGAAAAGCGATTCAAAGTTGGAATTTCGACTTATTTAATTGATATAATTCTTGATCTTTCTTTCTGTCGTCTTTTTCCGTATAATTTTCTTCTTTTATTTTGTTTGCCTCTTTCAATCTATATCTATTGCACCATGACTCTTAGATAGTTCGATATAAACGTGTCTCGTCAACAATCGACAACTGATAAGGTCGTGATTTTTTCGTATACATTTTGCTCATATTCTGTGAATTTAAAAAAAACAGCAAATATTTTAGGATTATGATATGATTGTTTCATCTTTTTTTATGACAAATTTTACTTTATGCTGATGCAGGGGCTTTCTGACAATCGATAGAAAATGTTTTATCAATTAAAAAAAAAAAAAACAGAATTTTCCTCAGCAATATTTTGTCGATCATAAATGCTAAATTTGAAATCATGTGCACAGCTCGTGTTCCATAACAGATATCGGAGATATTGAGTGCAATTTTCATGCGCAAAATGAGTGGCGATTTTAATTATCCATTTGATTGAATTTGATAGAATTAGAAGTATAATTTTTTTTTCTCGGTATATCGACATTTTAACCTTTGACAACAAAAAATTCAACCTTTTCATTCTGGCTGTGAATGTGCTCTCATTCAATGTTATCAATTCTTTTTTTTTACTTCTTAATGAACGTAATCAACTTCAACAGCCTATTTATATCAACAAATAAATTTGACCACAAATTAAACCCCATTCAAATAATCAGACGAGAATAAAAAAAAATTGTGCTGCCAAATTGGGATGACGGCATACGTTTTCGACATTTAATTATGGGCAATAAATTAAACTGTGGCTAAAGTGTTTATACCATAAATACACTTTTATGATGGGAATTGACCATAGTCTTGCTGAGGAGATATCATTGTCCATTTTTGGCAATGGCTTCAAACTCGAATTAACGCAACCATAACTAATGATTTGTGGTTTAATTCATTTGATTTTATTTTACACGACTCCACACATATGATGCACCACATTTGCAATAACAAAAATTTGTGTTGACGCTTTTTTTTAAATTGGAAAAAAAAGACGAAGTTATTTTATATTTCACTAATTCTGGATTTTGCACAATGATTCGATTTTTTGTTTCTTTTCCGAGTTCAAGGCAAGTGAGTATTGTGAATGATTCTAACGAACAAATAGAAATGGGCGTGAAATTCTTCGGTTGGGTGTTTTCAACTCTCGAAATAATATTGTACTGACGTGACTTTAGAACGATTTGAATTTGAACGCTAATAAGTCAATGGAGTGCATACATAAAATGATCATACTTACAGTTGATTAGTATCAATGAAAATAGCACGCGTAAATACATTGTTGAATATTTGAAAATTTCCTATCACTTTATGATTTGTTTCCTACTTGGAAATTTCAATGGTAGATCTTTACCACTGACTTGACCTAGGCGCACAATTTTTTTGTTTGGTGAAGTCTCAATTCATATACACACAATCGATGCAGGTAGCTCGTATAACACTTCAAATTATTTGTTCGGAAATGCTCAAGAGGAACTCAATCGTTTGCAGAAACTTGACATTGGCACAAAACAACAATCAATTCAGAAGGACACATACACATAAATACAAGGGATGTTTTCCGCTCTGGATCTCTTATTTTTCGTCAACGTTATTTTTTTTCTCTCTCTTGAACAATATTATTTGTCAGCGATTGAAGATATAAAACGAATTGACAATGTTCTTTTAAATTTGATTGTTGGTGTTGTTGTTCGTCGCTTTCGTTTCTATTCAAAATGCAAAAATTGAATATTAACCGTAAACTGAACTACCCGTTTGTATAGTGCTGCCTTTATATACGAACTGCTTCGAATCGGTCCCGGTCACCGTACATCAAGCTTATGCGGTAGCAAATAATTCACCGCCAGCGAGAGAACAAAAAAAACAACAAACGTACATACATGCAGCGTATATTCTATACTATACACACAGAGAGTGATGAAAATGAGAGAGAGCGCGCGAGAGCGTAAGAGTGTAAGCACATCGTTCGCTTCATCCGTTGCTTCTCTTCGTTGATTGGTGTGTGCATTTTATCTCTCCCGCTACATGTGTACGTCTTGTTTGGCACCACATCTTCATCGGTACTCATTTCAATTCCTTTATCACTTACAGAGCTTTGTGTCTTTGGCCCGTGTTTTAGGTCAGTCGTGTTTCTGATTCTACGGTACGAACCAAGTCTTGTAAGCCGTACATGTATGTCATGTCTATGACTATGATGCCGTCTAAAGATGTTAAATATGTTTATGATTATCGTATGTATCTTATACTTAGCTTCTTTGTGTGTATCTCTGTTGCTTCGCAGAGCCTCATGTCACTTTTAACTTCATAAATGATACCCATCAAGGCACCGCAGGCTTGATAAATCTTTTCTCAAATCTATTCAATTGTTAATTGTTGTTGTTTCTTCTTTTTCTTTCAAATTCAATAGCATTATGCTATGGTCCATCGCAATGAGTATTTAAATCATGTTTCTTTTTTTTTGCCTAAAATCTATTTTTGAAATGACAAAATGTAGAACTCGGTATTGCAGTTAATTTGTCTTTTATTAAACACTTCATTGTGTTTAATGTATTGATTGAAAAATAATAAAAATAAAATCTTCTTCATTGATTAAATTAATGAAAATTGCAAGACCGGCGATTAACCACATATGAATAAATAAACAATGGTGAATGACAATCGGTGTGTGCATTTTTTCTTTGTTTTTATTTCAGTGAATCACACTTTGAAAATTCAAACCGTCCGAAAAAAGGTTACCTTTCTTTCGTTTATCGTACAAGTCAACACTAATTCGATCAAATTGACAGCGCGAAAATGTGAATAAATAAGCGGTGAAACATCATTTCGAAAAAAACAAAAAATATATCAAATTCAAAACAAACATTTTTATATCAAAATTGCATTAATGACATTATGTGTATGAAAATACGAACCATTAAATTGAAACAATAAAAAACAAATGCAATGCTTACGAAAAATGAGCAAATTCCAGTGTTTCAATTTAACAAAAACTGAGCAACAAACAACGAAAGAAACAAACATAACCTTACATTCGTGCGCTTATAAAATGATTGTTTTGCTCACAACAGCGCCGCAACATTCGTACAGTTTTTTTTAATATTTCTTGCTTCTTCTTTCGTGCAGTCATTCCATGCGTTCCAATCGAAGTTCTATGGCGTACGAACCGAGAAATGTCACCGAACTTATAACTTTTACATACAGAACGTAAAACTACATCTTGCAAGGCATCAAATAGTAAAAAATTGTTCCTTTTACGAGATACTCAAATTATATTTGTTTGTAAAAACGCGTCAAAATGGACGATATTACGGTTGAGGTGTGCGGCGAAAATGGTGCTTGGTATAAGGTTTGTACAAAATATTTTTTTTATCCAAAATAGACAACATTTTTTTTGTGTGTGACAACCATTTAGAAAAAAAAAGAGTGCAATTTGTAATGATGCCGAACATTTTTCACCGCATACACTTTTTTTCCCCACTGTATGCATTACATTTACGAATCGAGTAGCGAAATCCAATTGTCCGGCAATTGAAACAAGAGAATAATGCTCTGCATACACATAAGTTCATATGTTATATACATACATAATATTATTTTTTTTTTGTTGCCTGTCTCTCTACGAATGTATATAGAGAGTGCGGCAGACGCCATGATTTATCTTATATGACACCAGGGCGTGATGAAATATTCGCAAATTTATTCCCAAAAAATGAAATGCTGCATTCAAACTGAAAAATATTCGCTTCGAATTGCATGTCCCGAATGGAAAAATTGCGTCTTATACCGATTGTGTTTTTCAAAATATAATGCGACACTCTGTAAAGTTCACTTACACAGCAAATGAGAGAGAGAAAAAAATAGATCGAAGGAAATATGTATTTTGATTGTCTTCAATGCATTTTCTAGGATTTTCATTCATTATTAATTTTGTTCAGAATTATTTTAACCCCCATTAACATGTTTAAGCCCGATTTACAGCCGACAAAGACGAAAAAACCACACAAAAACAAAATTAAAAGTGATTCGAAAAAAATGACAAACAAAAAAAAAATGTAAAATGACCACAAAGAAAAACTGTTGCGTGCAAAGTACCACTAAAGGGAATAAGAACAAACACCAAAGAAAAAAAAACACAGTCCGAATATTTGTAGAATGTCGCTGATTTTTTGCTTTCGAAAACCAAAAACCAATTTGTGCCATGTCCAACACGAATGAGCTTCAAATTTATTGAACTCGATTGCATTAAAAATTTCAATAAACATTGCTAAACATTTCTTCCTTTTTCGAATCTATAGGCAGTTGTCACAGATCTTTTTGACGATGGAATTATGGTGGCTTTTGAAAATGAGTAAGTATTTTTCACATTTCCACAAATGGGTGCCCACTTGAATTAAACGATTGTGCTAGTGCTGACGAAAAAACAACAACAACAACGAAAACAAGCAAATCCATATTCTATTGTTTTGTGTTTTGTTTGTTATCAAAGTGCAATTGAAATGGATGTATTTGTGCGTGATAAAAGTGTGGAATTTGTTATATTGATAGAAAAATGGGCCTTGAGCCGTACTCGCTAAGTGCACATCAATGTTGAAAATCATCCATAAGATAAAATCTTGTTATGTGAACAGTGTTTTGTTTTTGGTCATTGTTTTTTTTTGCTTCTGCTTTCAGCTGGCAAAAAGAGTCAAAATTCCTGTTTACTCAAGTTCGCCTACCGCCAGATGAGCCACCAGTCGCACCAGTATTTTCCGAAGGCATGGAAGTCGAAGTGTATTCCCGTTCGAATGACCGCGAGGCATGCGGATGGTGGTGTGCGGATATTAAGGTTTGTTTTCACCCCCTCATTTTACAGTATGCATTTTGGCAACTTCTCAAGCAAATTGTGTAACGAAGCGATCGCTTTTTTTTTGTGTGTGTGTTTCTAGATGATTAAAGGCGAATTCTTAGTTGTTGAGTATTTGGGCTGGGAACATAGTTACAGGGAAATTGTGGCTGCTGAAAGACTTCGCTTAAAAAATACAAATCCGCCAATAACTGCAACAACATTTCACAAATTTGAAGTCGAAGTACCCGAAGAACTAAGAGTTTAGTGAGTATTCAATTGACAATTACCGACCTAAAAAAAGGACGATATCCAATAACAAGAAAAACACATCACAAATGTATTGCAATCAATTAATTTAATTCTATTTTGAACGATTAGTGCCAAAGTTGATGGTGTTCACAAGGAATTTCAAAAAGCAGTACGTGCCGGCGTTTGTCGTTTCATTCCGGAAACTGGTAATTTATTGATGATATCCACTGATGAAGCGTCACAGAAAAAGGCCCGCATGATTCAAGAAATGCATTTTCGGAATTTAAGTCAAAAGGTAAACGCTTTCTTTCATCATATCCACATCGTTATCAACTTTAACAACTTTTTCATAAATATGTGTGGTAAAATCGATATAGGTTTTACTTGTCAAACGTACTGAAGAAGCTGCACGTCAGCTGGAATCAACAAAACTTCACACAACGTCCGGAGGGTGAGTATTTAATACACATTGTCAATTGTTTTGAACGAGAAAAGAGAGAGCAACAAACATGTTCCCCCTCATATTTCATTTCAATTTAGTTGATTCGCATCCAAAGGCATATTAAGTTCGGCATATCGTTTGAATCTATTCCATTTATGAAATCGTTCACTTTTTGGATATGTATATTTATAATTTATCCTTATTTATGGCGATCGTCTTGAACGGTATCTCGTAACTAATATTCGCTTTTCCTTGCCATTCCGTTTCGATTCAAAATTACCGATTCCCGTTTAATAACGTTTTTAAAAAACTATCATACAAACACAAACACACAACAAGAAATATTTGTTCAAACTCATTGCTAGAGAGATCCCTATGTGCTGTTGATCACACACCATTTTGATTTCGATTTTTATCGGTACTAAATTGAAAGAGTAGTTGTCTAAACATAATCAAAACTATTACAGAAAAAAAATGAATCACCGACACAGTAACAATTTTGACGGGATGTTTTCACGTGGAAGGTATTTTATAGATATACTTTTTCCTTTTGTCTCTCTCTCTCTCACTGCTTTCTCAATAAAAGTCATTTATAGCAGTTTAGAACATGCTTTTATTTGAAAACAAACATCAACAAAAAAAAAAAAAAAAAGAAACAAAATATTTTTAGAAAACTTAATTGATTTCGAGTACCATTTGATGCTTTTTCCATTGAGTAAGGGGTTTTATTGTAAAGCAGACACGTATATATTTATTTTAGTTGGCTTGATAGATTTTCGGCAAGTGCAATAATCTTTGGGAAATTTGTTTTTTATACACAATATATATAAACAAACACACACACGTATACTTATAAATACACAAACATTCAAATAATCTGAATTTCGGAGCCTACACAAAAAATCCAAAATTGAACAGAAACTAAAAAAAAAATCACATAATATTTAGATTGAAATTTAAAAAAGAAGGCCAATTAATTTACACGAAAAACACAAAATAAAAACCATCTTAGTCGTGTCTATTAGCACGATCTTCATTTCATTTATATCAGTTGGTATTATTGGGTTTAATGTCGCCCGAACGACGTATTAAATATGGAATTTGTTTTTAAAGTTTTTCAGACGAATTTCGGGTGCGAGAAGATCTGATGGGTTTGGCGATTGGTGCGCACGGAATAAACATACAGACGGCCCGTAAATTAGATGGTGTGACACAAATCGAACTAGAGGAACACACGTGTACTTTTAAAATATTTGGTGAGACTGAAGAGGCCGTACGAAAGGCTCGCTCAATGCTTGAATACAGTGAAGAGTCCATCCAAGTACCACGGAACCTAGTTGGTAAGGTGATCGGAAAAAATGGACGAACTATTCAGGAAATTGTCGACAAAAGTGGCGTCGTTCGGGTAAAGGTAAAACGCATCATAGCGCAATACAAACGAATTCAGAATTTTCATTCGAAATATTTATGTTGATAGCGATTGTTTGTCTTTATAATATTTTTTTTTTTGGTTTACATTTGAATCAAAATAGATTGAAGGTGACAATGAACCACAACCAAGCATACCACACGAAGATGGTCAAGTTCCTTTCATATTTATTGGCACCATTGAAAGTATTTCAAACGCAAAAGTTTTACTCGAATATCATCTAGTGCATTTAAAGGTAAGAAAAGTTTGAATGACATACATAATGAATGCAAATGTACTTTATTATATTCTTTGTCTTCTTTATTATGGTGGCAGGAAGTTGAATTGTTACGACAAGAAAAATTAGAAATCGATCAACAACTGCGCGCTATTCAGGGCAATACATCAATGAGTTCAATGCAAAATTTCACTGTTCAACGACGATCCGATCGTGGCTACAGCAGTGATGTAGATACGATGCGACCAAACAACCGTGGATCGGGTGCATCGCATCAAGGGAATACATCAAATACCAGCGGTTCGTCTGGTATGCGTGGCCGTGGCGGACGCGGTCGGGCAAACAACTCACGCTATCATCCTGGTAACAATTTACATAAAACCATCGAAACAACTAATTTTAGTAATAGTAACAGTAATAATAGCCCCTCTAATCAATCGTTAATGTCACAAACAAAACCAAATAATAGCCAAATTGGTAATCGTGGCAGACGGTCTGCATCATTCAATCACAGCAAACAACATCCAGAACCAAATACAAATAACAACAATCCTTAAGTATTTTAACATCGTATCTTGTCTTTTTGGACGATTGGTTCGTCAATTAAAAAAAAAAACATTCCATTAGAAGCTTAACTCTTGAATTTTAACCAAGAAGTTGCTGTAAAAAACAATTTCAGTTTTTTTTTAAATCAATCAATATTCCGACCAAATTTCCGACAGAAATTGATTAATTTGAAATAACAATTTGCATTGCGTATTTTGCATCTTAGAAACGACAGTACCGAGAAAAGAAAACAGAACTATTTTCGATGTTGATGTTTTCAAAATTAGGAAGTACTGTCAAACGGATCTATAAAGTTGGGATAAATCTAAACGATGGATCCATCTGACAGTACTCTCTAGAAAAATTATATTAAGAGTTCTGATCTGCTAATAGTAAATCTTCCATTATGGAAATGAGCCACATACAAAATGGCTATTAAATATGAAAAAACTATGGAAAGTGCACACGAATGAAGTTGACATTTTAAAAATGAAACATGCATAATACATTTAACGAGTGGCCTTCTTTTCAATTAACACGAAATATTTGCATTGAAAAACAAAACAAAACTAAGAAAAAAGAAAATCATAAGTCATTTTCCGGGAACCATATCTTGTTTATTTGAAATGCTCTTATTTTCTATCATATTAGTGATAAAATTAATGTCTAACAAAGACTACAAACTAACTAACTACATTTGATTAAATGTAAGCACTTATGTTGTAATTTATTTCTCTCCCAACAAAAAAAAAACGAACAAACACATAATCTACTATAATAATAACATAAGTGTTGCTCTGTGCTTTAATTTTAAACTCTGATCGATTATATCTGGTTTCACAATGTATTACAAATGAATATAGACTTTTCATTAGATTCTAATGTTTTACATTTTAAATGAATTGCATTTATATTAATATTTAGAATCAAAGTAAACTCATGAGAGAATGGGATGGAGATCGTGTATCCTTTCGTTCGAAAGCCATGATTATAATCATATCACTTAGCATTTATATTAAGCGTTATACCGTATTTTTCGATATTTTGAGATTAAAATTAACAAAACAAAACTATACGAATGAAAAATATATGTATACAAATGACTAAGTAGATTTTGCATTGAACCAATCTTTTTTTTGGAAGCAGACTTATTTAGAATAATCTACATGATAACATATGAATCTCTGAAATTCACTGGAATTCCATGCAATTCCATTGACGAACGTCATTTACGATTTTACATTAAGATGCATTTGAAATGAGAGTGACGCAAACAAACGAAGGCAAAAAAGAACAATTTGCGTTCAAGCCGTACCATGGCAAAACGAAAAACAATTTTTATTTTGTTTCCGTTTTAGTTATTATTTTGAATCCAAATAGTTGTTATTTATTATAAGAACTTAATGCAAAAAGGCTCACAAAAGGAGAGCTGATGATATAAAAAAAAATAATGTGATTTGATTTGTTCTCACTTCAACTTATTTAATTTTCAATACCAGCAAATAAATTCAACACGCACTCCCATCACAATATATAGACATATTAATATCCAAAGTTCTCGAGGTTGTTTTATTATTATGAGCAAAAGCCACTTTTTTTACATTTAGTTTCCAACATTTGGTCGATTAGTATTTTGAAAGGATAGAAATAAAGTCGCACTAAAAAATTAATGACACTTACATTTGAATTGATTTCTCAAAAAAAAAAAAAAAAAATAATACGAAAAATTCATTCCAGATAAACTTTCGCTCAATATATATGAGTATCTGCTGTATTGAATTGAAAAACAAATATACACGAAATGAAACAAAAGAAAATAAAACGACATCAATAAGTGACGTTAATCAGAGTGATTTCCAAATGGCTGTTAATAACATGTTCAATGAATTTATAAAGTTTCACTCTTCAGTGGACTGCTATTGATTTGTGAATTTTTGTCCTTTATCTGTTCTTTTTTTTTTTTTGTTTTCATAGATGTTCAACGTCAAGGCAGTACAAATGACGATTTCTCTGGTCGAAATGGTCATCTGCCGTCAAAATCATATAATGATCGATCGGGATACAATAGTGGAAAATGGTATAACGAAAAAAGAGGTAATCGTCGATCGGAAGACCTACGTTCGAAGTCAGAGTTCAATTATCGCGAACAATCGAGCGGAAGAAGCGGAAATAGTAGTAACAAACAGCGTACCGAACGTGATGTTGTGAGTGTTGATCGTGAAAGTAATTCGTCAGTGGAAAATAACAATTCGAGACGACGACCAAAAGCAAAAAATACCCACAATCAAACAAATTCAGGTATGTGATATGAAAATGTACTACGATAGTTCAATAATCAATTTCAACATCGACATTTTGCATTCATTTCGATTGTTCTTCTATTTATAGTGGGAAATACAAATGGCGCTGCAGTGAATGAATCAAAACAAAATGCGTCTAGTTCCAGCAAATTCGAACAAAAACAGCAGTCACAAAGTCGCCGTTCAAATGAAAATTCACAAAAATCAGCCAACAATCCGAATACACAACAAAATCATAACAATTACAATGGCAACAATCGTGAGAATGGTAAACCACGTCGTTACGCAAATCAACAAACAAACGGTGGAAATAATGGTGGTGGAGGAGGCGGTGGCGGTGGTGGAGCAAACAGTAATGCCGGCTCCAAGGCATCGAAAGCTGTCAATGAAATAAATGCAGGCAACAAAGAGGCCATCAGCAACAACAATAATAACAATAATCTAGAAAACAAGGAAATTCTTATCAAAGAATCAACATAGAGATTTTCGAACCTTTTTTCATTCTTTTTTCTCATTTCGTTAAACTAAACAAATTAACTAACAACCGTATACACATTTCCATCCCCCCTCACCCCACACAAACACACACACACTCACATACACACACACGCATACACATTATTTTGCTATTTCATAACGCTGAATTAATTTGATTATGAAGAAGAGAAAAACAATTAAGAATGATTTTATTTGAAGCCAATATGTTTTCGAAGGCAAGAGTCTATATGAGTGTTCACCGTGGATGAAAGTCAAAATCAAATAGAAATGTACGAAAGTAACAGAACAGGTTCACAAATAATAGTAGCACTCCCAAAAATCGGTATTCTCCGTTTTTGTTTCATAATATGAATATTTTAGCTCAACAAAAGAAAAAAAATGGATTCTCACACATGCAACTAAAAGTAAAATGTTGACAGTGTGTCAATACATACACACATCCAATCATTTTGCCTTTGATCTTTTCGGCCGACATTGAGATTAAAATTAATCAGGCGCATCTTTTGGCATCAATGGAGTTTGCAATCCAAAACTCTCACCCTTCCATATTGAAAAAAAAAAATTATATATTTAAAAAAAAAAGAAAAGAAAAACAAACAAAAAACTAATAAATAATAATTTGAAATTGAATATGATTTATCGAGTACATCCAAGAACGTACTCTGAACGTCGCTGAAGGTCGAAGAAAGTGGAATACGAAATAATCAATTAGCAAAAGAGAAAAAAAATAATTAAACAAAAATCCTTAGAATAGAAAATCAGTGAAACATAGAGGGACAAGATGAAAGAGCAAAACACTCGGCCAAACAAGAGACATGCATAAGCCCATAAGTCAAAATGAAATGCGCCAAAATGAATAATTGTTTGTTTTATAGGATTGCTTTTGATATTATATTGATTGATTCAAAAAAGAAAAATTATCAAAGTAAATGAAGAAAACAAAGTCTGCACCGAATTGAAAACAAATCAATGTTCGTAATAAATTGCAATTTTTCGTATATAATCAAGAACCGTCGTAGAACATATAAATGCTAGCGCGTAAATAGTTCTGTTCAAATTAGAAGGGACTGAGTAATGAAGAGTTTATGTTTTGCAAAACAGCAAAAAAAAAAAAATTTTAAACAAAAATAAATAGAACTCTAATTGGATTTATTAATCTAGGCATATTCAGTTTTATTATGATAATTTATTTTAATTACATTTTTATTCGCCAAACTGTCGTGATGACTGCGTGAAACATATGTTTCAAATTGAATTTACGGCAAACGTCATCCTCGCTCCCCCTTCCTTATCCATTCGACTCCTCTCACACAACATCGATTACGATTATTTTATGCGAGTCAAACACAAATACGATCGTAAATTAAAGATTGATAGCAAATCTTGCCGAAACACAGAAACACTCTTGAGAAAAATAAAGAAGTACATGAATGAAAACAAAGTGTTTTTCAACATGTGAATTTTAAATATATATTTTCTTTTAACTTTTTGCAATTATTTTTGTTTTTTCTTTTTTATTTGAACGTAATTTTTTTTCAATTCGAGAGCGAAAAAAAAGAAGAAATGATTGTGAAAATGTGTCAAGGAAATCTCTTATTCCGGCTGCATCGGGAGCGTACAGATCAATAACACTCGAATAAGAAAATAGAAAAGATTCATGTAATCGAATAAAATATTAACAATAAAAAAGAACAATGAGACAGAAAAGAATTGAAAATAGTTGGTTAGGAGAGCATTTTCGATATCGGCCTTTAGATTTGCCATCTCACCTCAATTAGTTAATGAATCAATTCATTTTGCGAAATAAATGAAGATTTAACATATAAAATTAAAAATTTGAAAAAAATAAGAAAATGAAAAAAAGAAAATTGATGACAAAAATAAAAGCACATTTGACACACCTACATTCATCCGAATTGTGATTGTATTCCATTTCATTTGCCAACAAAATGATCGTGTGATTTTTTTTATTTAAAACAAAAACTAGAAATTCAATTTTCCCAAAAGCTATATGAAATTAACTCAACGTTGTTTGGGAATTGATAGAGAAAGAGATAGAGAAAGAGAGAGAGAGAGAGAGAGAGAAACATAGGAATAGAGTGAAATCAAATGAAATGGAATAGAATTGCAATTGTGGTTCACATTTAGTGCAGCGCATATTCATTTTAAACTATTTAACATTATTTTAGAGCTTAAAAAAATCTCTTCGATTCAGTTCGACTACTTTGTTGAGACAGTTTTCTCTCTCTCTCAATTTACTCTATCACAAAACAAAAAAAGTTGACATGTACATTTTTTTTTCTTCTTTTTATGTTAAAAAACAAAAACAAAAGAAAATATTTTCCTTAACAAAAAAAAAACGCTCGTCAATTCTATTTTTTTATTATTTTTTTGAACATTTTGTCATATAATTTTTTTTTTCGTAGAAGTCTTATCTAAAAATGTAAGTTTAGCGTTAAAATGTTCATAAAATTAAAAAAAAAAAACTAAAGAAATGAAATCAATAAAATTGCGATTCATAAAGTTTCTAAAACCACACTGTTTCTTATTTATCTAATCGATTTGAAAAAAAATTATTGTTTGTTATGCATGCAAGAAGTGAGATACTTCGGTTGACCACAATCGACATACAAAACGTAATTGCAAAAGTTTCACAAGATGGCGATAGTCGTATGTAATTTTCGAAATTCTATCTCCGTTCATGTGATGAGTGGTATTTTTGTGTGAGCGGAAAATTGAAACCATTTGATAAAAATGATTGTTATTTCATCGGTAATACATAAATCTCGTTACGGACGGGAATTGAGCCGGATGTATAGTATAGGCTTTCAGTAGTCGTAAGGTGATTTATGATATATCCGAATATAACCATTTTCTATTCATTCATATTTGGTCCTTGTTTATTATCAAATTCTGTAATATTGATGACTGAGTGGGATGTAACAAAGCTTTGTATTTTATTCGAACGATCTGAAAGAGTGAAATAACAAACGCACAAACACCTACATACAACCCTTCAAAATGTTTCTGCTACGTACAGATTATTGAATAAAATGTCAATTTTCACTAATCGAAATATTATAATAGAATATTGATCTTATTTATGTCATATGCAAAAGCAATTGCTCTTATATAGCTAAAAGTGTTAAAAAGGGAAGCGATGAACAAACTATTATTTACGATTTGGAAGAAGAATTGAAAGGGATGGACCTATGTCACTATTCGTTTAAATTGCTTGTTAAATTTGCTTTTTTATTCAGTATTCGAATTTTCAGTGCATGTTTTTTTTGTTGAAGCCTGACAATGTGTATAGCATAAGTCATTGGCATTAATACCGATTGAAAATGTGCAGTCAATGACCAATATATTTGAAAAGCTTGCGACGACATTGATTTTCGATGCCAATGATGCCTACATAGCATGGGATCTATACTGTGTACCATTTTATCTTCACCACATTCTTGCTACTAGTTGAGCCAATAATGTAATGTATATTGACACATTTTTCAAAATACATTTTATTATTGCGAACACATTTATAATAAGTTACGGAACATCCTATGGGCGAATGTTACATTTATTTTCTCCTTCAAAAACACTCTACTACATGTTAAACACTGGTGGCTATTGGAAACTTGTGTATCATGTTTGGTAAAATCGAACACATTTTTCAATATGTGCGCATTCATTGGCTCGATGAATCATGTCGTTAAAATATTTTATTGTTTTTTTTTTTGGTGCAAATTTGGAGTCAGTTCTAAAACAAATTTCATAAATACGAACCAATACTTTTTTGGCTTTAAAAATATTCAAGCTTAAGCTCGATGAGTACATGCCAATTTATATAATGCTATCGTATTAAAATTCCACCTTGGCCGTGCCAAATGAAAAGAGAAGCTAAAACGATTTACTGTTTTTGTCATCTGTCCCTATAAATTTATCTATAATCGAAATCCATTGGTGAAAAAAATACAGCAAAACGTGCTGCAGTTTTATTAATATCCAAAAAAGACTCTGAATTGAATATTGAATTACACATATTTCATACATATTTTTGCAACATAAATTTCGATCGGTTTTTTCTCTGCATTATTGAAATATGTGGTTTTTTCCACATAGATTATTCGATGATTGTGGTTGGTAAGATAATGCCTAAAATTCCAAATCGTTTTTAAACATTTCACATTGAACAAATTGCAAATTCATAATATCGTTCGAATTCACTTTTCTGCTTTAATTGGTCCATTCAACTTGAGAAAATGTTCATTGTCTGCCAAATCCCATGATGAACCAAATTTATGGCATGTTTTATTCACGATGTACATAAACGTCTATGCGAATGACGAACAAAGTTTTGTGAAACGAAAAAAGTTTCAGTAGAATGCGTCAAATAAAATAAATTAGTTGAATCAATTATCTTGAGTTATGTGTAATGGCAACTTTAAATTTCAACCAATGTTGCACATAGTTTGCACTTTGCAACAACTAAATGACAATACACAGCATTGATTTCATATGCTCCTGTTGCTGGATAAAAATGTAAAGTAACAATGACATTGTGCAATAGAGTGAAACGGATGATAAAGTATGAAGTTTCAACTGTCAACTTTACTGGAGATGAGAAGAATTCGCACAAACTAGCTGCTTCAAAAGAGAAGAAAATAAACGAACGTGTAAGCGAAAATGAGAAATACTTGAGAAATCAAATGAAATACAATTGAAAAATGTTCACATTTGAAATGTTCGCTATGCGAATAAACAAAAAAAAAGCGAACGTAACGGTGAACTGATTCTATGTTAATGAACTATTTCTTTTTATTTCTTTTCTACAATGTTTTCATCGTCTTACACTTGACACCAAATTGGCTGACGTTTATCAGCATTTTATGCGACTTTCTTGTATACAATTTTCTCTTATCACTTTTTAGTTAAGATCACCATCTGAGACACCATCACATCGTGTCTCTTTTGGAGAAGTTGGCGAGAAATACAGGTATGCACTCACTATACTCTCAACGTGATATGTGTCACCAGAAATCAAGGCCCACTTTGGTAGATCCAACAAAAACTTACACCGCTCCACTGAAGCCCATTTCAGAATTATGAATGATGCTGTCACTAATTGTAATGATGTTACATTTAATTGAAATTAGCAATGCTTAATCTTCCTTTCTTATCAAATAAGATCTGGAAACGATAAAAATCCATATAAGCTATTCTAGTTGAAAACTATTGAAAATATTTTTTAAAAAATCGATTGCGATTCTATTTTGGTTACATTCGTCATGAGTTTTGAAATAAACACTAAAATTTCCTAGTTTGAAAATGTATACCAGACAATATATTTAGCTGCCGTCATCTGGATATTTCAGCTCATCTGGATGCCGTCAGCAGATGATACGAATTGAAAACAATAGAAGTGATTGTTATAGTAATACCAGTATATAACAAGCTTATATACCTATAACAATCACTTCCATTGTTTTCACTTCGTATCATCTGCTGACGATATCCAGATGAGCTGTAATATCCAGATGACGGCAGCTAAATGTATTGTCTGATGTATACAGAACAAGCTCTGTAACATTTATCCTGTGATTCAATGGCTTCAAATACAAGAGCTCTTATAAAAGATAAATTATAATCATAGGTCTAGAAATACATACGCGAGAGAAATAGAGAAAGCAGATAGTACTCTCACTACAAGAAAACTATTTCATCTATTCAGACATCAAAAGTTATTAATTTTTGCTCATACAACAATGCCGACAATCTCAATAAATGGATGATGAATAAAAATCCATTTTACCACATGAAGAATGCGACCCATCTCTCTGCCTCTTTCATTTATTTACGCCCCCTGTGTCTATCTTTTGTTCAAGCCATTTGTTATGATTGAAGGGTTGGATTTCTGTGGAATGCATATGCAAATATAAATATGGGAAAAGTATGAAAATAGAAAAAAACAAGTAAAATGAAAATTTCCCTTCATCTTTCATGATAAACATGCACTCATTGCCACGATTGTGTTTTGTGTACATCACTTATACTTATATACATGTGTATCTTTAATAGCTGCCGTTTGCAATAATAATAATTTTAATAAATCATACAAGAGTTTACCGTCGCTATTATGTATATGGAAACGTTCACGTTGTGCAAAGTGATTTCAAGCTGGTGTATAAAGACAGTACATACGAATAAGTAAGTGTTTTCTTAGTCACCTTCAGCACAATCAACATATTTTGAATATGCGCTGTTCTGTTTATCCTTTTATCTTTTTCGGCGAAAGAAACTCAGTATGTGGCGTGTGTGTGTGTGTGTGTGTGTGTGTGTGTGTGTTGAAGATTTTGCGACAGATTCAGATGAAAGCAAACAAATGATGCACATTACCGTAACATTAATTTTTATGATTCGGCAGAGGGAAAGAGTTTCGATCAAAGTAAAAATTACCCAATAAATAGAACGCATGTAAATAGTCTCGATTTGTAGAGTTTTCTGAAATATTGGATAACTTATTGAAATCGTTCAGTTTTTTATTCGGTATCGGTGTATGTATCTCTGTCAATGTGTAATGCGTTGCTGCTTAACATAAACGATTTTTATGTATATCAATTTTAAATTCACTCATTGTTGACCGACTATTTTCCAAAATTAGCACAAGTGTAACAAAAAATATTATAAGCAAAAAGGAAGACAATTATTTTATATTAATTATTATTTACACTAGATAGAACGAACTGTTGGAAAATTCTTTCGACTTGCTGGTTTTTTTTTTTGCCGAAAACTCTCCTCACGTTCATCAATTTTGATATGAGTGAAATAGACTTTTGCGTATTAAAGACCTTTTTGCAATTTAATTTTTTCTGAATAAAAACTAATATAGATGAGGTAGCGAAAGGTTAACTTATTTAAGCCAAAGTGAATAAGTCGCATTTTCTTCAATTTTTATCATTGATTCAAATTGCTGGAAAAAAATCTATACAGCACATTCAATTGTCGAAAAGTATTGAAAGAAAAAACAACAACTGCTCAATAGGTTTCGTGCAAACAAAAACTCTGTTTGATATTGCCATTTCAACCAAAGTTACGGAAAAGGTCCGCTGATGTGTACTTAACTAACCGTTTTCTTTCTCCGATGACCCCAAATGTATTCCATTCAAGATGTTCTTTTAATTTGGTGTTCAGTTTTTTTTTCGTCGAATCCTCGTTTCTATTTTTCTTTGCCATTGTTACTAAAGTTTGGCTCAAGTTTCGATTGATGTATAAATAATTTATGATAAATATAAATAAGGGGCGATAGATATGCTTTTTTCTTATTTATGATCGATCTAACTGTAACCATTTCTTCATGTAGAGTCCCGTTCTTTTTTGCTCGTCACTTTATTATCAAATCGGGTCGGCAATAAAGTAAACAAATTCCGGCACGCAAAATAGATGTGGAAAATCAAATGCTTTTATTTACTTACAAATTGCGGTAAATATTGATCTAGTTGATGTGCCCGTTACCAATTTATAAAATGCTATGTAATTTCTGGTTTATTTCGTTCATTTTCATAGTTATGTTATTTGTCTCGGTCTTGTTTGAACGGAGAAATTGTTTTTCTGTTGTAAAATAATCAATTTTTTCTGTTTAAATACCATCGTAGCAGTTATACTGAACACATAATATCGATAAGTGCATTAAAATCCAACAAGCAAATATCTCAAAATTCTCAACTTCGATAGTTATAAATAAGTTTCTGTTATCTACCCTAAATTGATTGGACATTTTTTTAACGTATGTTTTTTTTCGTCACCTAACTTAATTGTATATTTACGTTATTGTATATATTATGTTTTTATACTTTGTTTTAGCATATACAAGGGGAAAAAAAGTTGTCAAAATTCAATTGCTGAAATTTTTGTCACTTACTTGATAATCATCCGAACAAAAGTGCTAAATGTTCGTTTTGTTTCATTTAATGTTTAGCAAATTCTGATGGGAAAAAGAGGTAATCAGTGTGATTTCAAGTCTGAAAAATGTTATTTATGTACTTAACCAACTAAAGATAGAGATAAAATATGTTTTTCTTTTCAACAAATCTAGACAGATTCAGTCGAATCATCACACACGCGTATCATATTTCTAAGATGACTCTCTATAGAGAGAGAGAATTTGTGATAAAAAGTCTTGTGTGTCTGGTCCGCCTCTTGCTCTCTCTTTTCGTCGTTTCGACTGAAAGTGGCAGCAAAGCAAAATGCTTAGCAAAGTTTAAGTGTGCTCAGCTATTGAGTGGCATCGATTTCCTTGTTTCCGTTGTAAATGCTTCTTTTCATATGACGGCAGAGAATGACAGTTTGAAAACTTACCAATAATAATGTCACACTGACTATCGATATAGGATTTGTGATTTCATGCAACACGCTTACACATTTTTAGAATAAAGAAAAAATAAAAAAAAACACATTTTATTCATCCATGAACTTTTGCTATACAACGCAAACAAGCCTAATCAATTCTTCATTCAGATTATTCTCTTCTTTTGACAGAATCCTTCTCTTCTTATTTTTTTGATAGAGAATGTGTATGTGTTTATATAGTAAATGTTTTGTGAAAAAAGTACTTTTTGAAGAAAGTAACATGTTATTAAAAGACTTGTCAAGTTCCATATATTCATTCATCTTAAATTCAACATACTTGAGCGTTTCGTCTTTATGCAACATAATGCATTGCATGTTATTTTCGGTGTGTTACAAAAATTATCTTCATTTTGCTAATCATTAATTTGTTTGCTTTTGTTCATAATTAAAATTATTAACTTAAATTTATATTTAACAGAGAAGAAATTTAAAAAAAAATATACTCTCGATAAAATATTGATCGAGATATGTGATATTAAGAAAATGATAAATAAATGAAGTGGAAAAGTGTTTGATGCCGGATTTGTTGTTTTCCTGCGATACTTAAACATTTAAACTAAAATTAATAACGTTTTAATTATAATTCTAACATAAGTTTAAACGGAACGGATATACAGTGTTTTGTTTTTGTGTTGAATATCTTTTTCAAAGAGAAATAGCCATCGCAAGTGGTTTTTATTCATTCGTGTTCGTTCGTTTGTTCGTTATTTGGCATTAACTGGAAAAGTTTGAACGAAAAATAAAGAAAGAAAATTAAAACCGAAACTTAAGTATTTTCCGTTTGGTTGTAAATGCAAATGATGGCGAATAAAACTGTGAGATTTAAAACTTAAAATGCAAAACTAACGTTTGGCCAATGCATGCATCAACGAATGTAGCCGAGGAAAGTTTTCAATGGTGTATTTGTTCAGTTGGTGTGGGTGTGGGTGCGACTGGTAGCTATGCAACGTATCACTTAAAATCTAGCGTTTTTGTCGTTTTTTTTTCATTTTTTCTCCTTCCATCAACAATTGTTGTAATGCATGTAGCCATTTTGCACACAAATATTTCGACTGTTATCCACTCCAGCGATATCGTATTTCTTTTCGCTATCGAAATATGCTGAATGATCGCCACTATATTTGTGCGATTCAAATCCATTGTAGCCGTTGACATTGTAAACGCCCGGCATTTCCATTGTTGGTAATTCATTGTTGAAATCTGTGCTACTGCTGCCCTGGCCACAACTGGTGTAATCATTGTACAAATTGGTGTAGATATCAACGGCCGTCGTCTGATGGCCACCATACGTATTGGGCGAATAATGCATTGGCGATATTTTTTCGCTTGTAAAATCATTGGTTGAAGTACCGGCACGGTAACCACTTTGGGAGTACAAATGAGCTGGCAAATTATTGCCCATATTCAGCGCTGACAAATCGGAATTGATTGGTGTTGAGGGCGGTGTGAGGACACATGGTGTTCGACGATGACCTGCATTCACTGAAATTCAATTCATATACATATTATCCGAAGGGCGAATGAGTAAAAATAAAATTGCTTCTTCCTTAAAATTCTAGGCATAAATTTTTTAAATGGACTCGACTTTTTTTCTTCTTTACTAACTTTTCGATTATTTATGGAATTTCAATGTACCAGGGGGAAATAAAAATGGTGCTTTGATGTATCTTTTTCCGTTGAAACAAATAAATAAATAAAAGTGAAACTTACCGATTCCCGTAGCAATTGAATTGTTCACGTGAATTCCGTTGTTGTGATTGTGACTGGTGTTATTATTGTTTCCATAAGCGTTGCAATGATAGTCGAATGGTATATTTTCCGGTAACGAATAACCAAAGCTTTGCTGCAGTGATGCTAGAAGAATGAAACGAAAAATCAAACATAAAGTTAAAAGACATTTCTTGCTTTGATTTATGGTAAAACGATGAAGAACCGCAATCACATTGATGCATTGTGTATTCGAAAAATCAAGTGTCTAGACAATGTATGTAATTGATTTTTGTACCTTGATCAGAAATCGGTGACACTGATTCATCAATGTACAATTCGTTGCCTGAATTGTTTGGCGATGCTGACGAATCCGACATGCGACTGTATTCCTTCAATTTGGCAGCCGATTTTTTACTGGCTGATGAGCGTACCGGTTTTTCGGGAACAATCGATGAGGCAGCTGCTGATACTTTGGACTTTTTTCGACGTGGCTGATACTTGTACTGTGGATGGTCTTTTTTATGCTTGGCACGTAGCTCTTCCGCCTTTCGCTTGAACATTGCTTTCTTTTCCTCAGTAAAATTTCTACGAAAAATATGCAAATAACACACGACCGAAATCGAAACAAAACAAAATGTAAACGAATGGAAAAAAATAAAAGAGATGACGACGAAGAACAACAACATTTAGCATCAAAATGTACGTTAACGAAGAGGAAGTTGACGCGCTTTTATTCTATTAATGAGTTGCAAGCATTGCTTCGCATTCAATTTCCATAGCATCAATTGTGCGCCCAAAGTGTTTTGCTGTTGATGTTGTTGTCTTTTTTTTGCTTATAAATATTTTAGACAAATTTACAAGACAATTTAGTTGGAGCAGTTACGAAATACAGTTTGTACTTAAGAGATTTTTTCATGTTAAAGTGATGCAAAAATTACTGAAAAAGTATTCCACGCGAATTCATGTGCTATTGTAACATCAAAAGCAACAACCAAATGAAAATATACTTACTTCCATGTGGAACCGAGAAATTTGCTCAGATCCGAGTTTTTTAAGTTGGGATTTTTCTTGGCAATCATTTTTCGGGCTTGATGTGAAAATACCATAAAAGCATTCATCGGACGCTTAATCCGCTCTTCTTTCTGTTCAGTCGTCGCTCTGTAAAGAGAACATCAACAAAAAAATAAAGAGGTTTTTTTTCAATTAACATCGAATATGTCTACATGGATTCGCATATCAGCACGAGAGACAGAGAGTGAGAGAGAGAGAGAGAAAGTGTGTGGCAAACGCACATACACACTTGAATTTGAAGCATATTCACAGTAGGGCAAATTGAAATTAAATTGTGTGTTGAGTGTTTTTATGGGCGGGACTTATGTTTATACTATAAATCGCAAAAGATAAAAAAACGAAGTAACAACTATGAACGCTTCGGAGCGTTGGACACCAATCGAAACATTTTCTTTAATAGCACAATTCCATTAACGCACACGTATTTCTCAGCGACGAACGAATATTGTTATTCGTTTTGCTCTGTCATCGTTTGAAAAGGAGTAGGCGCACAGATATAAACGATAATCTTAGCTCGAAATATCAAAGCTGACAAGCACAATAGCAACATTAAATTGATACGATTCTGAAACCTGTCCAAAACTTTTGACACTTTTCACAAAATGACCAGAAAGAAATGAGAGAGAGAGAAAAAAGATCAAAATTTTCACAATTTCAGCTATATATTTCGTTGGTTAGAGAATGTATAAACATTGTTTTGGAAATGATTGGCGAAAAATAACTATGTAGAAAATCAAATGGTTTTCTATCTTGTTAAAAAAAATCTTTCACCAAAATTTCGGCATTTGTTGAAATTCGGCGCGCATGAAACGAAATGTGTCACCAAAAGAACATTTTCATAAATTCAAGATACATTCCGATTACGAAAAGCTGTAAGAGGCACGTCACGCGTCTGTTGTGCCATTTTGACGGCAATCTGTCGCTAGACTCGTGATTACGACACAAATGGAAATGATATCGACGAAACAAAATTTGAAAAAATATATATAAAGTATTTTATAGTCTCTCTGCCACAAAAATTCCCAGAAATTATATAAAATAAACATTGTACAAAACGCAAACAATATATTTAGGAATGCGCGACAGATTTTGATTTTTGACAGTGAATTGTTAGCAGAACTGAGATAATAATGTGGTGTGACGGCGACAGCAATACTCTGTTGGATGCAAATTTATAAAGAAGTGGAATTAAATGAGTATGCAATGCACCGAAACCATTAGCCCAACTAAATTCATCTCATTCTCAATGTCGATACAATACTATAGGTCTATATCATCTTAAATGATGCATGTATATCGAGAGAATAACATATGAAATGAAATGTGAACAATAAATAAAAAAAAAATACAGAAGTCTAACATTTGATTTTAACGATGCAACAATGTTTTGATATGAGATGCAAACACATGGCATCAACTGGATGGCGAACGGTGAACTGCATACAAAACGCGTGCGTTTGTGTCGCGCGAGCGAAAACAGTATTCGCATACGAGCGCGAGAAGCAAGGAAGACCGAGAGTGAGAGACTTTTGCCATCCATACGGCTGATTAATGATTGATGAATCAGGAACAGATCTTAATCATTTAATTAAAATGAATTTTACGTATGGTCATAATTTATTTAACGCATTATACACAAATGCAGCGCATCGGTGCTACTAACTGGTGAAAGAATCTGAAGCGAACAAAACACAACGAAAAATGCGATGCTTTTTTCCCATACGAAATCTATTAAACAAGTTGCCCGATCTCCCAAACCCATCACAGTACACACACACATACACATGCACCCATCAAGCAAGTGATGTATCCCAAGAGCACTTTGAAATGTTCTAATTAAAACGGGAAATCTATTTCATTTTTAATTAATGATGTTTCGTTTTATGCTCTGCGCATTTATTTGTAAATGGACGAACGGCAAATAGAATATTTATTAAATGGCTCTCAAACTCATTTGATATGGCATTGGGTTCCATGTATTTACGCTGAAAAATGTTGTTTACAAAGTTCACCCTTTTTGTACAACATTTGCAAATTTAATACTCACTCGATACCTGATATTCACACCACAATCACGTGAATGTTTTTTTTTATTTAACACACATTTGGCTTTTTTTTTCACTCAAACGTGGTTCGGTCACAGTACGAGTCAATTGTTGAAATGTAACCACCAGACGATAATAAAATTTTTTCTCTCTTTCTTTCTTTTTTTTCAGCCGTTCTCATGTTTGTCAATTCGCGTAGATATAAGTTAACAAACTTTTACAAAACCCCACGCTGCAGATGAATTCAGTCACCGTACAATAATAAGGACACATAAATGGTATTTTATGCAAAACATTTAAAAAAATTGAATGAATTTTTTCGGATTTCAGTAGTCGCATCCAATTTATTTTAAAATGGGTGTTGGAAATAAAAGCGTTTAATTAAATGACAATCCTTCAATCAGCATTCTTTAAATGAAATAGATGTATTCCATGAGAATATTTGCATTTTGTCTAAATACATGTGATGGTCATGTGTTTGCTTTGCAGCCGTAAAAATAAAATATGTTAAAGAAAAAACCAATTCATTTAGTTTCAATACTTAACTCACTAAGAGAAAAAAAGGGATCAGAACCGAAAAGTAAAAAAAAGAAAACCACAATCACATCGAATGATAAATGACCATTGTGGTAGATTTTCCCGCATCCCCAATCAAATTAATGCAAAGAACAAGAAAAAGCGTAAAATTTGTGCTAAACGTTTTTTTTTGTTCGGTTGCCATTATTCGACCTACGGTTTAACTATAATAATACGCCTTCACATAAGACAAGATAAATAACTTAAGAGTCTGGTGATGGCTCAATGAACCACGAATATATATTCAACTGGATGGGGAAAAGTCTTTCACCGATATGTAGCGCATCATTGTGGCAGAATGAATCGTACTAAAACAGCATGGTAGTGGACAACAGCATCATTTTCATTGTTACAATTTTACGCGCATCGTATAATGATCGGGCCATCAAGCAATAGCAACACCAGTGTACATTCAAAAAATGCAAACGCCCAAAATAATGGACATACCCGTATATCAATTTAAGACAATATGAATAAAACATGCACTAAATGCTAGACTAAATGCGTTCGTGAACAATTTTTGGTGTGGTTTTACACAAACTCATCACACTGCAATGAAATTTATCTTTCCATTTTTCTGGTTCTTCTTATTTTTTTTTGCTGTTACCGTTTTCATTTTACTAATGCCACACTCTCCACGAAAGAATTTCATTAAGCCATATCCTTGTGTGCCTCTGTCATTGTGTGGTATTGCGATGGTTGTTGATGAAAGAACAAAAAAAAGTATATCATGATTTACTGCTGGTAATTAAGACATTGTCTCAGGCATTGTCTCTTCCAAGTTCATTGAAATTCGCATCAGTGAAAATGTATGAAAATCGTAAAAACACCAGGGATTTCATTTTTTGGCCATATTATGAAAACTGCTCGATGTGAATTTATTCTTTGGGTACAAGTGTGCGTGCCATTTGCACGCTTTTAAAGTATAATATTTAAAGAATTCCGCATTCGTAAGAAAATCGATTCGGGATTTTCTCGGTACCTCGGCTAACTGACGAGCCAAATACACACTCATTTTTCTAAGCTAATGAACGCAAGGCGCGGCCCATTCACTGAAATAATGAAGCATCCAAGATTAAAAGAAAAACAAACGACACTAAATGACAACAACATCGAAATAGAAGAATAACATGATGGGCCAAAGAAACGACGAGATATGCATTCAGAACAAGTGGTCGTATTTGTATTCTTACTTAAAAAAAATGTTCGCCACTGCATCTCTGCCGTTTTTTTGTTGTTTGTTTCTTTTTCATTTCTTGGCATCAACTTATATTTTCATTAACTATATACACGACCGAAACTCACTCTCTGAGCTCTCTATGTCTTGCTCCCTTTGGACGGGCTCTCAACGAATATAAATGAGTCCGAAGCTAAAAGAGCCGTAAAGTATTTCATACTTTATAAATGATGATGAGAATGATGGCGATGATGAGCAACGATTTTGAGTTAATATGAACATTCGGTAGTTGAGTTATTCCATTTAACAAAGTTTTTGTTTTCTTCAGTTGCCAATTTTTTGTTGTTGTTGTTTTTGTTTTGTTTTCTATGTTTGTTTCATCTCTCCCTCTCAATTATCATTTTGAAACCGTTTTTTGCTTTCGATATGATAAGATCGGTTGGAATTTCCTCTAGCAGATTTTCTTAATGCGTGCAACTTGTACACAGACATGTACAACAGTCGTCATAAGTTGTAAATTATATTTTGGCATTGGGATTATATTGTTATGAATTTGTGCGTTCTTCCTTGGTTCCTATATTTTGTGTTTGTTGCTTATTTTCGCCGTCATTCGTTCGGTTTTCGCTCTAATTTCGTAATGATTAAAAGAGTTGATATGGATCGTCATATAATTACAATTTCTCAAGTTCATTAATTATAGGCGAAATTGTATGAAGAGCAAATGAAAAATCGCATCGAATTAGCTGCGAAATAAATTTTACCATTTTATCTGTCGATTTATTTAATCTTGTCATCCTTTTAATGAAACTTTTCCTTTTAAAATACATTGTAATGCTCGCAATTATCATTCTATTTGGTTATTCACGCGAATCGAGACGTTAGATGTGATTTCAGTGCATAAAACATTGCAAAAAGCGGCACGGTGGAATGTTCTCATTTCTTTTCTTTTTTTTTTCATTTCCGTTATTATCGCGTTGGAATTACATTCGTTCATTTTTGCACATAATATTACAAAACAACATCCACCCTTTTTACGCTGAAGCTATCACATAAAATTTAAAATTATTACATTTTCGATTACATTGATAGTATCCATTTTTAAAATTTTCTATAGAATTGAAGAACGGCAGTAAAGTGAAATAAAAAGTAAAAAAAATCCCACTATAATTAAGATAGGCAAACAAAATATCAAACGAATTAAATTGATGGATATCGAATACGGACAAATGTAATAAAAGTATGCATGAGAGGAAATTTAGAGGAATGAGAGACGGGTGCACGAGCGAACG